AATAAAACAAATAATTAAAAAAATTATATTTATATATCATTATATTTGAGAGAGAGAAAATCGCGCACATATTGCACATCTGCGCACGTAGCCTATACTTTCTCTCTCTCGCGTGCCGGTCACCACAACACAGCAAGCAGGCAAAGCACACGGCACGCAAACTATATATAGCCTATTTAGTTTTTCTTAGTTAAACCCGAACCCGACCCGAACCCGAGGCTGTTCATTAACATTAACCCGAACCCGACCCGAAACCCGCACATTTTTCGGGACCCGTCGGGCTCGGGTCGGGTAGCAGACCTCTACCGCTCAGGGCCACCGTAGAAACATGTCGATGTAAGCGGACCCGCGGTGTGTGTGGAGAGAAACGCCTCATTCTAAAAACATTACGCTTCATTATGTAAGGTCTTTACACACCACTGAACACATAGTTATGTATATGATATTGCATTTGTCAACAGATCCTCCTAAATATTACACACTGCACCTTTAAGGGCTGCGTGATTTGGGGGGAAATTGCTTCGAGTGTGTTTGGGAAATGCCCCGCCCTTTTACTATAAACATGAGTTTCAACACACTTATAACTACCTCGACCAGGCCCCGCCCCTTTATTCTGCGTATGAATTATTTAAACTAGGAATATTGTGAGGTCATTCACTATCCTCCTGTCACCCAAAATAACAAGACAAAAGCGTCTGAGAACAATCACCTTTTATAATTCTAATCCCTCATTCATTTTTTTAAAGTTACACATCAACCTCCTGACTATTCCTCAATCTATTCATTATAAACAATAACAAGAAAAAACTAAATTATAAAAGAATGTTTGTAATTAATGTTTTGTATAAAAGTGTATAGGGTCGCTAGTGACCGGAGGGATGTGATAGTGTAAGTATTTGTGTTTCTGCACAACAATAATTATAGTGCGCTTCCCCGCTGTTCCTCAAGGTGGCAGTGTCTTACACACAACGATGATGATTACAACGATGGCATCAAATTAAACAACACGAATATAAAGACTCAAATATGTAATAATGATTGCTGAAACATTCATGCATTTAAGGGTTGAAGTCGAACTGATTTACTGTAAGCCCGAGGCTGAACACACTGGACCACGAGTGTGTAAATAAACACAGCGCTGCGCTTCACTCTGACACATGCGGCGCACACACTGATTCATTCAATCACAGCCGTCGCACTGAGCCACATTAAAAATTCAGTTTTATTGTGATTAATCATGCAGCCCTAAACTACATACACAACCATTCTGGAGAATAACACTCACAAAAATGCTAAATGAAGTGTGTGTGTGTGTGTGTGTGTTTCAGGGAAACCTCAGCTGAGGAAAGTTCATCGAGGACAAACAGAATTCATCTGCAAATTCGCACCTGCACTGCAGTTACAATGCCAACACATACACACACGCTAAACACACACACACACACGCTAAACACACACACACACACGCTAAACACACACACATACATATTATCAACACACACCTTAACACATACACACACGCTAAACACACACACACACACGCTAAACACACACACACACACACGCTAAACACACACACATACATATTATCAACACACACCTTAACACATACACACACAGACACACACACAACCACACACTCCCTTACACACACACACACACACACACACTCACACACACACTAAACACACACATATACACACACACACCTTAACACAGACACACACACAACCACACACTCCCTTACACACACACACACACACACACTCACATACACACTCACAGACTAAACACACACTGATACGCACAACCAATGTAAATTGACTCAAATGCTGCTCAATGTTTTATGTGTTTTAATGTTCTGCTGCTGTTCTTAAGTGTTCATTGAAATATTGTTTGTTATAAAATAACAATTATGTTTTTACACTAAATATTGTAACATAAAACTCTTGTTCAGAAATAAATTATATTTTATTCATTATGTTTCATTGATTTATAGATTTGAATGTCTTAAATTGTGGTTCAGTTTGAAGTCTGTCACCACTAACCAATCACAGTGTAGCAAAGCATGTGGGGGCGGAGCTCTCTACAGATGAGCCTCAGGGGGCGGAGCTCCTACAGATGAGCCTCAGGGGGCGGAGCTCTACAGATGAGCCTCAGGGGGTGGAGCTCTCTACAGATGAGGCTCAGGGGGCGGAGCTCCTACAGATGAGGCTCAAGGGGCGGAGCCTCTACAGATGAGCCTCAGGGGGCGGAGCTCCTACAGATGAGACTCAGGGGGCGGAGCTCCTACAGATGAGACTCAGGGGGTGGAGCTCTCTACAGATGAGCCTCAGGGGGCGGAGCTCCTACAGATGAGCCTCAGGGGGCGGAGCCTCTACAGATGAGCCTCAGGGGGTGGAGCTCCTACAGATGAGCCTCAGGGGGCGGAGCTCCTACAGATGAGCCTCAGGGGGCGGAGCTCTCTACAGATGAGCCTCAGGGGGCGGAGCTCCTACAG